AAGAAAACAATACTTACGGACAATATAGGAATTGTGAAAGAAATACAGCACCCTTTTGTGCATGAGGGATATGTGACAATATCTTTTGATGGGCAAGGTTTGTCCTTGATAGATCTGAGGAAAAGCATCATTGTAAGATTCTCTCCTACCACGGGTCAAAAAGAACAGCATTACAGACTAATCACTCAAAAATAAACTACTTTGCAAACATAAAAAAATGACATGCATTTTTTGGACGCTTTGCTTGATGTTTGGATACTTTAACTCGAAAACAAGACTAGGACAAATATTATTTTCAGCGCAGAAACAGTAATTCATCATTAGTGTACAAATAAGTGTGTATACCACGATTGCCAGTAACGACACTGGCTTTTGTAACATAAAGTAGCTACAGCAGAAACATAATGACTATTTCAATAACAAGAAAATACATTCAGTAGTAGACAGTCCTCTTCTCCATAAGGATTTCTCTGTAAAACTGCATCTGCACACATTTAGACCCGTTTTTAAGTACAGCATAATGGACTCTGGCTAGACTCCTACTTTGTCAAAAGGCATACATTATTTCAGCGAATTTGCTGTAGTAAATAAAAACATGCAGGAACAACAAGAGGCAGACTGGTGACGCAGTTATTACCGTAACAGACATATGGAGTTTCCACCAAATTATATGACAATTATATGCCGCAATTTGTCTATTCATTCTCACCTATGTATGCACTGAAATATACTGTATCCATACAACATGACTATATTATGGTTATTACAGGCTTTTAAATACGCTTTATGTATAACTGATTTTAGTTCAAGCTTTAGTATGCGTAATTACTACAGTACTTACGATTTGATGTCGCGAATGGAGCGTTTCTGATGACAGCTTGTTCATTCTTGTTGAATGGACATTTCACTAAATATGTAGTCAATAATTAGTAAAAAAAAAAAAAAATTAAATATCTTTCATTTTTCATTATCTTCGATGTGCAGTGTGTATGCACATATATTTGTAAGCTAAAGCTAGTATGGGTAACTTAGGTAAGGTTAGGTCATGAACTGTGATACAGGAGATCTATTCTGCGGTACATCGTGAAAAGCAGGTAACAGTTATAATCTAGGATACTAGATGTCAAACTTTCATTGGTAGATTCCATGTTCTCATAGTTAAATATTTTTATTTCAACAAAACATACCCCCTTTGGCACTTTAACTATTTCTTATGTATTTTATGATTTTGTCTATAAGCTAAATAAAAGCCAGACTTTAATTTTGCTTTTCTGAATCGCGCAGTGACGTCACTACGGATGCGCCGCGGACTGTTTATCAGTCCGAGGAAGTAAACGAGGTGAGTATTTTTCAGTGATTTTAGGTGCATGACTCGATAGAAAACATTTTAACGTGGTTTATTTTTGTTTTATTTATTTATTTATTTTACAAATGTGCTCCATCAACATAGCAATTTTACGACGCCGTCTTGTGTTAGTAATGTTAAATGAACGTGGAAGTAATATTGCTGTATGTGCAGTTCTAATATTTGTTTCTTTCTTTTTTTTTTTAAGTAGCTCAAACATTGATATAATAGTAAAGGACATTGACACATTAGAAGCAGAGATATTTACTTTGCATTGCATTTTCTAAAACTTTTTAGGTCTTGAATTTATTCCATGTGTTTTTGAAAGTTCATTCAACTAATTTTCTATAAAATGTCAGTTTTCAACAGCAGGCTGTCGAGCTTGAAAAAACGACTATGTACTATAAAAGTAGTCCATATGAGTCATCTTATTAAATTAAGAAACAGTCTAAATTTTTTAATCGGTTTCTATTACAATCTCAGACTGCAATCAATTCTTTAGACTGGTGCACCATGTTCATTTACACATACAAGAGAACCTATGGCATGGTGCATAAGTATGGACTTCTAACCTATTAAGCCCTGTTCCCAACTGGTTTAAAATGCATTTTCAGTGATCCAATCACAAGTGGACTCCTAGTGAGTATTGGCTATGTGTCTTTCCCAGACCAGTCCTGAGGATTCTAGGTTAGAATCCTCTTCAGCATTAAGGTCTTTAATGAAACCATCTATTAAGTCTGCATGGCAACATCATTAAGGTTTCCGTCTTCCATGGTAAAAACACGAAAATAATATTAAAATATTTTAGAAAAAAAAAACTTTATATTAAAAGTCTTCATATTATCTGACTTTCTTTTCAGTACTATACAGTAAATGACAATCTGTGGTCTCCCAGTGGTTTACATCAAGGGTAGTTTAGCATTATGTGATTAATTTACCACAAAACATAATGCCTACAAATCCAAAAAGATGTTTGTTTTGTATTTCATGAATGAAATGAAATTGAACGAGCCCCGTACCGACTCATTTTCAGCCATTTCTCTTTTGTTAATTGGAATGTGTGCAAAGGACTGTGGCTGATTGGAAGACGTGAAGGATACACTTGATGCACCCTTCAAAATTCGTCAAATGAAGGACATGAAACGTAGGCTGCCTTCCAAGTATCCTTCAAAATGAGACAGCCTTCAGTGGCACTTGATGACATGGCAGCCGAAGTATGCCGCCTTACTAGGATGCAGTATTTCAAGAAGAGGTAAAGACACTTCCCTCTTATTTTATCATACTCTTGTCATCACTTTTGTTGGAGAGCTGAGTGCAGTGTGCAAATAATTAAATGAATGAATCCATGTTATGCAGCTTACAAGTGAGAGGGGAAAAATAATAATAAAAGGAATAAGGAGGGTGGCTGCAATTTCCACCATAATTTGCATTGCAGAAAACTTCTAATCACTTTTTTTGGTGCGCTTTCTCACAACACTTGCCGCTTGATGGTTTTTAGGTGGGTGGGCAGTGAATAGGTAGTGCATCACTGCAGTTTAGGATGAATTCAGGACAGATATTCTTTCCACTACAAAAATGCAGTGTGGTGTCATGCGTTTATGACTACCTCTGTATGTGCTTTCAGTGATCTGACCACAAAATGTTTTCGATCCCTTTAATTGTATTTAGTGTTGACCAGTTGTAATCTGATCACCAAAAAGCATCTTAAAACCAGGTGGAAACAGGCACTTAGCGTTCTACAGTAAGTACAGCCTGTTTATGATTAAACCCACATGAATAACAAATTGAGTGCATCACTGCAGTTTAGGATGAATTCAGGACAGATATTCTTTCCACTACAAAAATGCAGTGTGGTGTCATGCGTTTATGACTACCTCTGTATGTGCTTTCAGTGATCTGACCACAAAATGTTTTCGATCCCTTTAATTGTATTTAGTGTTGACCAGTTGTAATCTGATCACCAAAAAGCATCTTAAAACCAGGTGGAAACAGGCACTTAGTGTTCTACAGTAAGTACAGCCTGTTTATGATTAAACCCACATGAATAACAAATTTAAGTATAATACCATTTATAAAATGTATATTGGTATTCATGATAAAATGGTCAAGTTGAATTTTTGTCCACATGGTAGGCTACTCTCGTGTTTTTTTTCTTCTACTGTGGTGTTTGTGAAATCAGAATAAGAATGTATGAAACAAATACATCAGTTGTTACCTGGGTGATGCCGTGATACTGTGTGCAAACACTGGAGCGTGTGCATTATGGTGGATGATCAGTTCAGTTTTTAGAATTTTTTGTTTTGTTTGTTTTTTCTCCTTTAGAAAGTATACATCCCATGACACAAAACAGAAAACCAACAGAAGGTGTTGAGAGTGGTTTACCTTAATATGCCTTAATATAAAAAGCAATATACTGATATGATGTAGTTATAATAAGAATGTTCTTGAGCATAATATACCTTGCCAACAGTTAGGTTTGTAGAAAAATGCTGAACTATATTATAAAACCATCACCACATCACAACAGGTTTTTTTCCAGCAGGTGTTAGCTAAGAATGCTGAGAATTCTGGGCCGGGAACAGATTAGAGAAAACATTAAAAGTCCTCTTAAACTCTAAAAGTGTCCTGTCCTACCCCTGGAGTGTCAAAAAGAGAATCCACCCACAGATATTGCAACAGATCTTGGAGAGATTAGGAAGAGTTGAAGTAGATCTGTTCACATCATAAGAAATCATGCAGTGTTGTTTTTCTCACTGAGGGAACCTGATGTGCCACTAGCCACTGACACGTCTGATCTGCTTGTTCTCTCAGTCTATGTGTCCCAAGTATATGTGGCAGCTATCTGTATGCCATGTGGACTTTGAAATTGGTAAGTGCATGGTACACCTGCATATGCCTTGTCTTTTAGCCCATGAATCCGACATGGGATTTATTTAATTGTCATCCTGCTGTGTATTAACAGCTGGCAGTATAAAAAAGGATTTGGTTGTTTATTTTCACAGGTTTGGTCCTATAGTCCACCATGCCACATAGAAAATCATACAACACAGTCTTCAGTGAAGTCACTCCCACAGCAAATCACCAATAAATGCTGGAAGTATTTCCATCAAGAGGCCACTGTGGTTCAAGCCAGCAGGAATCAAGTGTGGTGTAATAACAATTTCTGCATGACGCTGTGGTAAAGATGGATCTTGTTGAAGAGAGTGAAGACATCAGTGATGCTGAATCCTGCAAGTTGAATGATGGAAGAGGCTGAAGAACAAAGAGGTTGGTGTTCATTTATGATTGTTCAGTAATTACTTTCAGTTTACGAAATTTGCCCTTTAAATGTCCTTTAATTTAAAATTGGTTCCTCTTGAATTTCTTTTTGATATGTTACTATGTTTATTTTAGAACTGATGGAATCGAACAAGGAATGTCAAGCACAGTATAAAAAGGAGGAGAATCAGGAAGATCCCAATTCTGTAACTGGAGAAAACTCTTTTAGTGGTTCACACACTTCAGAGGGTTTCTCACATGAAAGCACAGAAGCCAAAAATTATTTTGCATGCCACCATGGTGGAAAGACTTTTTCACAAAAAAAGGACACCTGAAGTATCACATAAGAATTCATACTGGTGAAAGGCCTTACAAGTGCCCTCAGTGTGAAAAGACTTTTACTCAAAAAGGCCACCTTAGGGATCATATAATAACTCACACTGGTGAGAGGCCATTCACATGCCCTCGGTGTGGAAAGGGTTTCATGAGTAAAGGAAACCTTAATGTTCACATTAAAATTCACACCAGAGAGAGGCCTTTCACTTGTCCGCAGTGTGGAAAGACTTACACGTGTAAAGGACACCTTAAGGAACACATAGGAACTCACACTGGTGAGAGGCCTTTTACTTGCCCACAATGTGAAAAGAGTTTCACACGGAAAGCAAACCTTAAAATTCACATGAAAACTCACACTAGAGCGAGGCCTTACACATGCCCTCAGTGTGGAAAGAGTAACACATCTAAAGGACACCTTAAGGAGCACATAGGATCCCACACTGGTGAAAGGCCTTTCGCATGTCCTCGATGTGGAAAGTGTTTTACATGTAAAGGAAGTCTTAATATTCACATAAAAGGTCACACTAGAGAGAGTCCTTACACATGCTCTCAGTGTGGAAAGTGTTTCCCAACTAAAGGACATCTTGATAGTCACATAAGAATTCACACTGGAGAGAAGCCGTTCACATGTCCTCAATGTGGGAAGAGCTTCACACAACGAGGACATTTGAAGCATCACATAAGAATTCACACAGGTGAGAGGCCTTTCTCATGCCATTTGTGTGGTAAAGGTTTCACTCAGACGCAAAGCCTCAAATTTCACCTGCAGTTTCACTCTAGAGAAAACAGTGTGGTCAAAACTTTGTTCTGAAGTCATTGCTGAGAAGACACGTGAGGATGCATTCAAACGAGCAGCCTTATTTGTGATCTGTTTGTGGGAAGAGTTTTCTATTTCTTGACTATTTTAAACAGCACCAGAAAATACATAGCAGTGTGAAGTCTCATGTTTGCTCTGAATGTGGAAATTCCTTCGTGAGAGCCAGAGACTTGGAGCGGCACAAAAGAATCCATACTGGAGCAAAACCTTTGAAGTGCTCACATTGTGGAAAGGGTTTCACTGAGTCTAGAAACCTGGTACAACATGAAAGAGTGCACACTGGAGAGAAGCCGCACCACTGCCTTTCATGTGGGAGGAGTTTTAGACAATCACATAGCCTATTGGCTCATGTAGAAAAGCACTGTCCACAAGTGAACACAGCGTCCAACCTTGAGGCTTCAGTTCCAAACACATTGTGTGAAATTCAAAAGAACCCGATGATAGAATATGTCCAACAATAGTAGGAATAAGGCCAGTTCACACAAAGACAGTTCAGTGTTATAAACATTTTAATTTGAATGCACTTAATGTGTCTGTTTAGACCGAGATGAACATAAGCATGCAGTACATGCAACATTTTTTTAGAACTGGTGTAATCTGTTTTCCATTGCACTGCGAAGAAAACTGGCCAACCATTAAGAACTGCACTTTTGGTTACATGCCCAGAGCCACTGCTGTTACATAAAACTACTATTGGTGCCACTTACAAAAAGACTATTTTGCTAAATGGTAGTAAATAGCAGAGAAAGAATCCGGAACTAGCTCTCTTGTCTCTGTACACTTGTTTTGTTTTTGTTTGATAAAACTGTAGTGAATACAAAAGACTGAAATACTGTTTCAAAACTTCGTTTCTGCTTCAAGACCACCTAATGTCAGTGAATTAGCATTTTCATTCAGCCTGTATGCCATTTAACACATTAATCTGCAAAGACAAATCACATGTGGAAAAAAAAATTGTGACAAACATTTTTTTTTTTCAAATAATAAAAAAATGCACTCATTTTTAAAAATGAAAAGTTGACGTGTCGTGCCACATATTCATTTCTTGTGTGTATCACCATCAGTAAATAGTTAGCGTATGTGAGACTGATTTGGAGAATGATAACTTCAAGCTAATGACATGCAGTACACGAAGAATTAGTGCAGTGAAAGATTTGTTACATTGATTCACATCAAAATCTGAAAAGAGATCTTTCTGAGCAATTCATTTTTGTAAATGATTTTTTATGCATTAGTTTTAGTGCAATGTATATAATTGTCTAAATAAAAGACAATCCTTGAAATGTATAATGGGCTGTGCTTGTATTTTCGACCTTTTAAGTAGAAGGACATTTTATTATTATTTTTTCAGTATTTTCTGTCTGTGGTATCTGGTATCGTTATTGAGAGAACTGTGATAAATATTTGATTATTTTTCCCAACCCCCAGTAGCCTCAAAACCACAAAACGTACTGAGAGCAGAGAACAAATAGTTTCAATGAAGATTTTCAATATTGTATTAACATTGTGTACAGCATGGTTGAGGTACACTTGATGGCAGAATCAAAAGCTGTGCCTAGGTAGTCTGATAAGAAACCTGCACTGTACTGGTGTATCACTTTGCAACTGGAGCCTGTAAGTCCCATTTTACAACACCAGATGGAGCAACTGCAGAGTTTCATTGCTTAAAGGGATAGTTCACCTAAAAAAATGAAAATTCTTTAATCATTTATTCACCCTCATATCCTTCAAATAAATAGTCAGCGGCCAGGTGAACAAAACATTTTGTGTTCCACAAGTCATACAGGTTTGGAACAACATGAGGGTGAATAGATGATGACAATTTTCAGTTTGGGTCAACTATTCATTTTGATAATGTCTTTAGATAACGGTTTTGGATTTGTTTGCCTTGTCTTTGCTTTTTTTTTGCATATGGATTACAAACCAAGACTGATTTTAAATAATTTATTTATGTAAAGATTTTAGTAATAATGAGCTGGATGGTCAGTGTTTCAATTAACTTGCTTTTACTAGTTGTTTTAAAAATTAGGTATCATATTTTTTTTTCTGTAAATGACATCAGCTCTTTTTTTTTTTACCAACTTTTTTACAGAACAGTCAAACATGCATTTCCTTTACATTTCACTTATTACACCTAAATAAACCTGAATTCAGAAATCCTATATGCACCTTTCAGTGCCCATTTTTATTTTATACATCTGGCCCCTGCAACTAGACGCCATTGGAATACAATGAACCAGTGAGGCTGTTTTCATTTTTGAAGGTGAGGAAGCACAGATGTTACTTGCCAATGGCGAAAATGTGTACTTGGATCTAATTCATTATTATATCGTTAGCAATGTTGCTCCAAAAGCAGCAGGCTTAACAAACTACTACCAAATGGTGAATGTACCTAACAAAATAAATGACCAAGCTACATAATGATGTTCTTCAATTTCTAACAACAAAAATAAGATTTTATTACCAAGCCCTCTGCATCCATCTACCTTCATGTGAAATATTTTCAAACACTGTTTTGTATATCACAGTTTCAGTTACTGGCTGTTTTAAGGACTCATCCATCTGAAAGCTCTCCCAATCATATAGTATATAGAAGCCAAGTGGGGCAAAAGTACATTAATTAAAAGGCCAGTGTCAAATAATCAGGTATTTTTTCTAACGCAAACAGCGCTCATCATGCTCGCATACACTGCCAGTGAAGAACAGCATTCAGGCAGGCTGTTTAATGAATATTGATCTTAGCTCAGTATCTGATTTTTAGTGCTGTTTAGGCATGTGCATATCGTATAACCTTTAAAGAAGGAGGGCCTTTAAATATTTGTTCCCATGAGCATACATTTAAAAACTGATGCAAGAATAAATCTTTTTTTCTCTCTCTGATGAAGGTGGATGTATCATCAAAAACAGAAAAGAAGTCATGTATAAAGTCATTTATCTTTCATGCATTTCTACAGAATGCATCAATACCAGTAAATAAAGTCATAAAATGCACTTTAAAAAATGTGCATGTCAGTTATTAGCGGTCCATCCAGCTTTTCAGTTGTTCTATATTAAATATATGTATAAATAAAAATTAAAATAGTACTCTTGCTTTAGGTTCACTTTAACTTGATTATGTGTGTTGAGCATGTTTCAAAAGAATCTATTTATGCAATTAGCATTTCACTGGTTATTGCATTTTAAATGCCATGAGAATCTATAATATATTTGCATTTCTTATCTAATGTTTCTTGAAGCCCCGAGAAACAAATAACATGATGCTGTTATGCAGATATAATTAGAGGGTATCATAAGGGAAATGGGTAATTAGGGAAGCCACTGTATGCATATGACTTTCTTAGCCTCTATCCCTTTAAGAACAACAAGGAGAGCATGAGTGGGGGAGGGGAATGGGTTGGGGTGGAACAGTCCTGTAATGAGCATATTCTAGAGACACTCAGCATCATATGACTTCAGACCATCATGGATACCCACCTTTAAATATGCACGTAAACATGAAGAAGGAGAGGACTAAAGAGCAGGACTAAACCGATTTTTGACGCTTTTAACCAGTCTTCCAGGAAAGAAGCTTCATCTCTACACCGCAGAAGGGAAAAGAGGGAGCAGCATTAGGAAAAATGCTGTGCTAGATTGATCTCATTTAACACATAAGCAAGGAAATACTGTCATTTTATTTGGAAAGCATGATCTAGAGGGAGGCCTAAACACCATCCATGCTTTGAGGCTATGGATGCTCTCCCACATTTCTGCATTTTTGTGAGCCGGAGCGGTACATTTGGGGGCCGTGTAATGTCTGATTGAGTGTATCAATGCTGCTGCTGTGTGGATCTCTTTGGCTATGGAAAAAAACTAGGCCTTGTTTGCCTGCTGATCTCCACGCAGGGAACGCGGAACGCGGCTGTGTGCCTCAGCCTGTTGGGACCGTGCAGAGAGGAAGGGAGAAGCTCACCATCTGCATGCCAGTTGGAAGTAGCATGCACAATAAAGACATCCATTACCAAAGGCCATGCACAAACAGGCAGGAGCTATAACACCAGGACAGTAGCCTGGTAGATTCTTCTTCACCCCTTTAAATCGTCTGGACTTAAAAGCACTGTTTTTTTCTATATGTTCAAAATCTATTTGAAGGACGGGAGGAATATTGCTGTAACACTTCCTGTATAGTTGATCGCTGTCTTCCTTTTTTGCTCACCAATTGCAATTTTTCCACTTGACATTCTAAAGATTTGCCAAAACCTGTTTCATGCATGTCCACTGGAGGCAGGTTTGACTTTGATGATGGGGGGTCGTACTGTGGAGGGTGGGAACAGGGCAAGGCGCATGGCCGAGGGGTCTGCACGGGGCCCCAGGGCCAGGGGGAGTATGCGGGGGCCTGGAGCCATGGATTCGAAGTTCTTGGAGTTTACACTTGGCCCAGCGGGAACAGTTACAAAGGAACCTGGGCGCAGGGCAAGAGGCATGGCATTGGCGTGGAGAGCAAAGGGAGGTGGGAGTACAAGGGGGAATGGACACAAGGGTTCAAAGGCAGGTACGGGATGTTGGAAAGCACTAGCAGCGGTTCCCGTTATGAAGGCACCTGGAGCAACGGCTTACAGGATGGATACGGCTCAGAGACCTATTCGGACGGAGGTCAGATTCTAAAAGTATTTGCTGTGTTCTGGTAGCAGGAAAGAACGAATGTTAAATCACTAACCATGTTAAATGAATAGGCCCATCTGCTTTTAAAATGCTTCCCGTATCTTTGGGAAGTTGTTCTGTTGACGTCAAAGCCTGTGCTTCCAATCAAACCTACAGTATTTTGGCACACATTCATCTGTCATTTGATAGAAGCTACACTGTAAAAAATGACCGTGAATTTAACGGTAAAAGACTGTAAAAATGCTACAGTAAAAACTTGTTAAATGGTTAACGGTAAATTCCCCTACTATATACGGTGAAAAACTGTATTGGACATTACATGTATTGGACATTAATTTCACGGTAGTATACCGTTTTTGGAAGTGAAAAAGACCGTATAATTTACAGTGAATAACCGTAAATTCCCATTCCCAGAATTCCCTGCGTTACATTTCAAATTTGATGTTTTTTTGTTGAAATAACTATGTTTCTTCTTAGTTTTTTCTTATCAGTTTTGTATATTAGGGTTGTGTGTTACACCTAATGTTGTTAAATGAATGTTTATTGCATTATTTCAGTTTCATGTGTGTTACCATGACGGTGTTTAGCGTTTGTGTGAATGACACTGTGCACCTTCTATATATGTTATTATCTAAAAGCTGCTTGTGATGGGCTTTGGTTCATCATGTGACTTTCTCATCACCACCTGCATTTGGTGGTTATCAGTGTATTACAAAGGTACAAAACAGATTTCAGTACTTCAATAGGTTGGTATATTAACATTATATCAGTTAATGAAATTACGGTATTTAACTGTAAATTTAAGTTAAAACCGTAAAACCTAAAACGTTGCTACCATATTTATTATGGTAAAATTCCGGCAACCACAGCTGCCGGTTTTTTTACCGTAAATTTTACGGATTTTTTTTTACAGTGTAGTTTAATTTGGCAGATGCCTGAAGCAAAACCAGTGGAAAACCACTCATCTTTGCAAGTAGCAACTTATATTATATGATCTGTAAGTTGACAAGAAACAGCACTTGCATAGTTGGAGGAGAAAACAGCCAGGAATTAGTCTATTAAATAACAGAAATGGAAAATAAAATAAAAGAAAGCTCTGCTTCCACTTATATAACATTGAAGTCTAATCGTCTGCTTTGCTTCAGAGAAGTTATGAAACATTTTAGGCTATACAGAAAATAATAGCAAAATAATAATTAAAACATGCTCTAGAGCATGTGCTTTAAAGCATAAAATGTCACCATATGAACTAATTTACCACGCGTATCTGAAGCACAGACGCCTCTGTACAGTAAATTACCATGGAAACCGACCGACAGCAGGTCATTATGTCATAGAGACTCTTCGCTGTGCTCGCTGATTGGCTATTTCACATTCTTGTGTTACGTTGTGTAATCCGCTTCCTGGCGTGTTTCGGAGATTAATGCGGAAAATAGTGTAATTTGGGCATGATTCATGTCCTTGTACACTAGAACGGATTATTTGGGAAACAGAAATAAACGTTTATGTTCGCACCACATGACAGACGTCCTCTTTTAGATCGGGTTAGAATTAAATCCAAAGCAGAATGAGATGGACATGTATTCAGTAGTTAACCATTTCGCTCGTTGATTAAACAGGACTTTACTATTTTGCCGAAACACCCAACAATAGCGAGATAACTCGTGTCAAACATTTCAGCACCCTGGACAGTTACTATCGCTACGCAGCATCTGTTACATTTCAAACTGTCACTGTAACAACATAAAGTTTCGCATTTATTCGAAAACGTGATCTCACCTTTTCTCGAACGTTCCAAATGACTTTAGAAAATCATGTAATGTCTAAACAAATAACATAAGTCCCTTGAAATAGAAATGTGAATGTGTATAGTTATACTCATGGACATGCATTTACTTACTAGTTGTTATTTTTATTTAATGTGTTTAAAAAGCGGCGACTTTAGAATTAGTAACTATTGTTAAGCAGAGTAAAAACGTAAATTAAAAAAAAAGCCCAAACAAAAAACATATTTCATTTTTATGCATTTTAAAACTGGACATTATATGAAATGAATATTTACTTATGCACCTACTTATTTAAGATGCATAAACGGATGTCACATAAGACATAACACAGCTTGACATTATTTTAAAAGACTAATAGTGAGCTCAGTAATGGCTTCATTATGTATATCATACAACAAGGTTAAGCTTCCCTTAAGAAAATGAACAAATATGAATAAAATATGCAAATATGGCAACAAGGGTCACAGGGAAAAAGATGTTACAATAAGGAAATACTACAAATTGTATCCTATTTCCTCTTAATTTCTGTCACTTTTGACATTTAATAATAAAACATTCTTGTTATTTTTTTCTGATTTTAGTAAATGCACTGTGTATAACTTTGAGCTATAATAATAAAAAAATACAGACACAAAATGAATTTCCATTATCCATTCCATGGTGGGTCTTTTTACAGCAGCACTTTTTAACAGTTATTGAAGAAACTATAGATTTATAGATCTGTTGTTTGTCTCATATACAGTAAATGATATTCTACAGTAAGTCTTATAAGATACATAAAATTTCAACATTTAAAAATCTCAACCTCAAATTAACTTTTTGTCATTGTGCACAATGACCTCATAAATCAGGAAGATTTTGAAATGCAAATAGCTGTTTAGGAAAACATAGTGGTGTATATTTGTTGTCATTTAGTGTTTTGGAAAGAAATTAAATCAAAGGGGCCTTTTACCCCTATTGTACAAGTCATCTGAATAATGATATGAACTTTGCTCTATTCCTGTTCCTCTCACAGGCACATACCAGGGCCAGTGGTTGAGCGGTATGCGTCATGGCTATGGAGTGCGACAGAGTGTGCCTTATGGCATGGCAGCCATCATCTTCTCCCCTATGTGCACCTCCATAAACTCCCTACGATCCGATCACAGTGAAGGGGCCCCCACTCCAGAAGATGGCTCTGGTGTCAGTGGGGTATCTGGCAGCCCAGTGGGGCGTAGTGGCTTTGTACTTTGTGCTCACAGTGAAGCAGACAGGCACAGGAAGAGGAAAGGCCGTTTCCGACAGTCCATACTGAATGGTTTGAAACTGCGGAGGTCTGAGTCCAAGAGCTCGCTGGCCAGCCAGTTAAGCAAGCAGAGTTCCTTCTGCAGCGAGGCAGGTATGAGCACAGTCAGCTCAGCCGCCTCAGACATCAACTCCAACGTCAGCTTAGGTGAAGCTGAGGCAGGGGGCAGCGTGGATGCCACTGTCACCGAAACATATGCTGGCGAATGGAGGAATGACATGCGATCAGGGTGGGGTGTAAGTCATCGCTCTGATGGACTTCACTATGAAGGTGAGTGGTTTGGAAACAAGCGGTATGGCTATGGCTGCACCACTTTTCCAGATGGAACCAAGGAAGAGGGAAAATACAAGCAGAATGTTCTGGTGAGTGGCAAGCGGAAAAACCTAATACCACTCCGTACCAGCAAAATCCGTGAAAAGGTAGATCGTGCTATGGAAGCTGCCGAGAAAGCTGCAGACATAGCCAAGCAGAAGGCTGAGATTGCATTGTCCAGGTAAGATGTAATGATGTCTCACATAAGAGCACAATTCTAATCACAATTAGGGATGATCTAAAGTGTTACAGAGATAACCATTTGAGCAAGACACAACTAAATAAAACCAAATACCATCTTACTTATGGGTAAAAATTGGAGGAAAGTATGATCGATATCAAACGAGAACCAAACTTTCTTTCTTTATTCAGGATGAGCCATGCTAGAGGAAAGGCAGAGGCTGCAGAGGGAGTCGCACAGAGAGCCCTGGAGGAGTGCCGTCTGGCCAGGGCTATAGCCAAAGAACTTTCCCCCTCTCTCCATCACTATGGGAATGGTCAGTGAAAAAAAAAAACTAAAGAAAACCAAAAGAAAACCCGCAATCCAATTCAGATGAAATTACATAACATACTTCCCCATAAAGCATTATTCAGTATCTGTAATGCATATAAGAATGGAACTGTTGTGTACTAAACTTATTCCATGTAATGTTTCCCAACATCAGCAACCACCAAGTCTAATTCTATCTTTTTTGATTATGATGGTATTTTATAGTTCATCACTTAATGTGACCATGTCTTTATATTTCCGTTTACTAGGACTGGAGTGCCAGAGACCAAAGCATCAGGACAGGAAAGAGAAAGACCTGGAGGTGGTCTCGACTGGTACAGACAGCCCTGAGCTCTGCACACCAGACACAACACCCCCAGCCCAGACACCTGACCTGAGCCCAGTTCTAAGCAGCCCCTCCTCACCTCCCTGCAGCCCACCTACTCATCGCACTAGGAATGCTTGTTTCATGCGGCAGAGCGCTGTGGATGAACAAGGAGGGGCCGAGATTCAGGTTCTAGTAGAAGGTAGAGGCATGGACAGCATGAGAAGTGGGGCCAACAGTTGGACTGCTGAGATGTATCCTCACAGAAGAGGAAGCAAAGGGGAGAGCAGTCGCTCCACAACTCCATCCTTGCTGGAAGAGGAGATCGGTCACGTTAATGGACATGAGAATTCCTTAACTCATCACCCATGGGAGAACGGCTCCTCTAATCACAAGCCCATTGAGCATATGGCCCCTGAAAAGGTGTGGGATCAAATGTCCTCCAATAAAAAGCCCCGGAAGCATGTTTCCTTAAATCAAAAATCCAGGGAACATGCAATTTCCAGGGAACGAGAACGGGAGCATAAACCATCCAATCACAAATCTGTTGATTGCGACTCTTCCAAGTTCAAACCACAGGTGCACATATATTCCAATCACAAGTCAGTGGGTCATAATTTGTCCAATCACAAGACCAATGAGCATGCTTCCTCCAATCACAATCCAAAGGAGTTTATTTCTGCACATGAAAAACCACATGTTTCTTACCGTTATAATCCCCAAGAGCATGTTTCCACCTATCACAAACAACATGAGCATGTCCACTCCAACCACAAGCCAAGAAAGTCCTTTACCAATCATTCGATTGGTGAGTCTAGCTTGAATGCATACCAGCTGTCAGACCGTGGCGCCAACAACTCCACTCTGGAATCGACTGTTGAAAGCAATTCCCAGTGGATCTCTTCCCATTCACATCTGCAGGATAAAGAAGGGGAAAATGATTATCGGGTTGAAATGAGGTTCCAGCCCCTAGACTCCGTTTCCCATCAGAACTTTGGCTCTGGCATGAAATGCTCGGGTCTCCAAGGGCACAATTTGCAGAGACTACGTCAGCGAAACCATGAAGGCAAAGAATGGGGTCTTGCAGCCAGGGAGGGGTCCATGGACTCTGTGCAGATGCTCGACACCTTGAATGTTGGGGTTGATGTGGAGGAATGGCCTTTGCACAGGGACATTACTCTTTCACCCCCTTTAACGTCTTTTCCAGAACCACTGGAACAAGAAGGAGAGCATCTGAACCTGATGAAGACAAACTCAGTAAGTAAATAGCGTGATGGCCTTTGGAAATGAAAGGTGACAATGTTCTGTATGCCTAATGCTATCGATTAATAGAGCATCATATGTGACCCTGGACCACAAAACCAGTCATAAGATTTATACATCATCTGAAAGCTGAATAAATAAGCTTTCCATTGATGTATGGTTTGTTAGGATAGGATATTTGGCCGAGATACAACTATTTGAAAATCTGGAATCTAAGGGTGCAAAAAATCTAAATATTGAAAAAAAAATGCCTTTAAAGTTGTCCAAATGAAGTTCTTGCATATTACATTCCATATAGAGAAACCGATTTCTAACGACAGAGTTTAAACCTTTCGAGACAAACCTACCATGAGCTCTGAGGTGCTTAAATGATGATATATGCTTAGAAGCCGCAAGGCAATGTGATTAAAATTGTGTTTATTAATACAGTAGCTCAGTTCTGGGTGTAGAACTACACTACCCATAATTCAGAAGAGAGCTCCACCAATCAGAGAAGTTACAATTACACTTGAAATATAATTGCTCCAAATGCACTCAGAAGTGACCACTCATTCCCATAAAGCATTGCAAATGAATCAATTATTCAGTCTGACTATTGCGCTACTAATGATAGTTAGTAAAATTGTTTTTAACAATAATATATTTTGGTATTTTTACTTTATCTATATGTTTCTGATTAGATTCCATCATTTGTATTGCTTCATGGAATGTGTAGTTCATGTATTAATAAAATAATTAAATACTTTTTTCCCTAATTTATTATGGTGAACCAGATCTCAGAGCTGGTTGGTTTCATTCAAGGCTTAGACCTCTGTATTGAAGATTTTTTAAATCCCTACGGAGAAAATGGATAGAAAAATACTTCTGGAACCCAGGCAACTGAAAAAGTGGATGCTCTTAGGGTCACCGTTGCGCTCTATTTGCTGTGTAAAATGCTACATTATGTATATTGCACTAGAAATATTAGGAAGGAGCAAATAGTATCTAATAAGGATCTGTAAACTGATCTTGCTAAATGTTACATTTAGTGGAATAATACTTTTTAATAGTTTAAATATGTTTAAATGTGCAATACAGTGTTTTTAATAAGCTATTTTACTCTCTTTCTGCAGGGCTCCAGCTCTGTCCTGGTGGTCATGGTGTTATTACTCAACATTGGTGTAGCCATTTTGTTCATTCATTTCTTTATTTAATCATATGGCCTGTAGAATGTCAATAACAGCATTGATCATAATCAAGAGTAAGATATGCACACAATGCACACTTAGCACCACTTCTTAATATAAGGAACCCAAAAATCACAGTAGTAAATGTCTGTGTAAGTCGGGCAATCCATGTAAATTGTAAACTTCTTTTATGGTTCAATTTATTATCTAATTCCATTATAATCCATTAGTTAACTTTGCTTACTTTTTCCTCCATTCATAATAAAGGTCCATTTACAATATTCTGTAGAAATGAAGTATTACACACGTTTAGGTTTTTTAATATACAGCTCGTCTGATATGTTTTACCACATATTTAACAGTTACAAAAGATTATTTCACACTCATTTGTTTTCTTTTCAAATGCACATAAGGCCATTATTGAGTAACGAGACTCTGAAGATGAATGTGCAAAGATGGTCTTGTGGTTTTATGTACTATGATATAGTTGATGTAAGATGTGATTCACACTTATATATAACCAAGACTACACGCCCTCCCCCCTCCCACTGTATTCCAGGGTACAGCCCTAAATGATCGCTGCAGACGCTCATTACGTCATCCATAGAAATCAACCCTCTCATCTACATACCCAGATTTGACACACCTATAAGTCTGTGGTAACAGCTATCTTAAAGGGCTTCATCATAGTGCATTCCCATTAAACTCATGCCATTTGAATCAGATAAGCCTGCAGAATTCTTTCCACACTTACGAATCCCGCCTCACCGAATTTCAGCACAATCCAGTCGTGTAGTTTGTTTTGACTCACCGAAAACACATTCACCATTGAAACACTGCTATGCCAAACTCACTACTAAAGAACCTTCTGTGTTTTCTTGTACACCACATGATGTCACATCTGTTATGGGACATAAAAGTACAACAGATGTGCAGCAGTGGCTGAGTATTCTGGCTCATACTCGATAAAGTTTGAGACTGTTAACTTATGACCACTGCTTTCAATATATATGATTCTATATTACTGAACAGTTAACATATTTTAACAAGTTTGCAAGATATCACTGATATGCTGAGTGCCTTTTTAAATTGAGAAACCATCCCAGCGAGCAGGTTATGTATTGATGACCGCTCATACAGAGGTCACGTGAAATGGGTTGTCTCTCTCCCACCCCACCTTTGAACAAATCAAGTTGGCTTAAGAACTGAGCCTAAGCCTGTGGAGATTTTTACAGCATGTTTGTTAGCCTGTTCTCTTCTGCTGTTACTCTGTGTGATTTTCTGCCTGTCTCTCTGTCCAGCAACTTGGATAACAATTGGGACTGAAAGCAGTGTAAAAATACCAGCTTATGTTTCTCAGTGGGACCTGACTGACATTATCTAAATTAATGAATGATAAACTGCTGTTGTACATTTTATACTACTCATCCAGTGATATCATGTTGTGAGATCATTGCATGCCTAAGCATGCCCTTTCTTACGCAATGATTTATGAGATTGTTTCCAAGTTATGTGGAAAATTAATAAAATGTTTGAGGTTATGTTGTGACTTATGGTTGTCAAAGAAAACATTCACACACACACACACACACAAAAACAGTGTTCCATTTTTATATCAGATGTGAATTTGGTAATCAACAAATAAAGGAGCCCTGGCAAAAAGACATTACAAAGAGATGAGCCACTCATACATACAAGAATAGAAGAAAAACAGTAAAAAGGGCCAGCCTGTTTGTTTGTTCTAGCGTGCACATTAGCAGAACTGGCCTAAAAAAAAGTTTTGTCACTTTTTGATGTGGTAGCCTATTTATGATACCACTGTTGACAGATTTTTATTTCTGACATAATTTTGACCAAAACTTGTGGAGATTTCAAGCTCTCTTCGTTAAAGTAGATGTAGCTGTGTATGCATCCCAGGGGCAGTGGACTGACTTGTGAATTTAAAAGGACTCATTATATTCGGGGCATAACCACCTTTAATATAATGAGTCATTTTAATATTATTCTTTTCTTTTTATAATAAATCCCTCTAAATACCCCTAAACCTTGAATAATTGGCTACATTCTTGATTATATTAGACTGTGTTGTCTTTCTGTAAACTGTATGGACTGATTTGTATTTCACTAACAGCACAAACTGTACTGTAGGGGATTCACTGATCAATGTCCTAATAATATACCAATAATAAAACGTTGGTTTTAACAATAATAAATGACATTTTAAAAAACATACATACATGATGGATTTTCTACATTATTTTGAATAATTCCTAAGAATCCACTAATTCCTTTAGGATTTGCACACAGAGAATATAGGCTATGTATTAGGCTACTGGAGTCAAACAAAACTGTATTCGAAAATTAGCTATGCTTGTATTATAAATAAAACAGTGATATGCATGTGATTGGTGTAGTAGCTTGAATATCATTAGGGTGTCTTTCCTTCTGAGTTTATTCCATAATCATTATTAACAGAACTCAGGGTTCCCACAAGATATCAGAGAAATTAAAATAGCGAAAAGCCATGGAATATATATTTTTTCTAGTTCTTGGCTTATAATTTTATCAGCTAGAATTAGTTTTTTTCTCGGTGAGTTCATGCATTTGTTCCTAACCTTTTTGACCTCTTCTGCCCCCTAAACCTTGAATAATTGGCTACATTCTTGATTATATTAGACTGTGTTGTCTTTCTGTAAACTGTATGGACTGATTTGTATTTCACTAACAGCACAAACTGTACTGTAGGGGATTCACTGATCAATGTCCTAATAATATACCAATAATAAAACGTTGGTTTTAACAATAATAAATGACATTTTAAAAAACATACATACATGATGGATTTTCTACATTATTTTGAATAATTCCTAAGAATCCACTAATTCCTTTAGGATTTGCACACAGAGAATATAGGCTATGTATTAGGCTACTGGAGTCAAACAAAACTGTATTCGAAAATTAGCTATGCTTGTATTGTAGTAAAAGTGTAGTAACCATGTTTTTTTTTTTGGCGTATTGATTACCATTTGTATAAGCACAGTTTTACTAGCCTACAAAACTATGGTTGATTTGTGGTTACCATGGTTTAACTATAGTAACCGTGTTTTTTGGTTTAATATGTAGTAAAACCATGGTTAATTGTCGTTTCGTAAGGGATATGTATTTCAGAATATCTAAATTGCACATGCTACTCTAAAGCCATTCCATAAACGTTGCAACGCCATTGTGAGGACAGACTGATTTTATTATTTGATCATTTTTAAACATAACTACACGACATGTAATCGTAAAACGATTTGAACGATTCGCAAAAGAAAATCAGTGATTTTCCATCGCGTTGGTGTAGTAGCTTGAATATCATTAGGGTGTCTTTCCTTCTGAGTTTATTCCATAATCATTATTAACAGAACTCAGGGTTCCCACAAGATATCAGAGAAATTAAAATAGCGAAAAGCCATGGAATATATATTTTTTCTAGTTCTTGGCTTATAATTTTATCAGCTAGAATTAGTTTTTTTCTCGGTGAGTTCATGCATTTGTTCCTAACCTTTTTGACCTCTTCTGCACAATTAATTTAGTTTTGTGAAATTTCAGCTTCAAATTTCAGTATTCTTTCAGTAACTATTCTTAAATTAAAAAAAAAAAAATGTTGAGGGAAACAAAATAAATATGAGGTCGGTTTACTTGTATGTCTTCAGTGACATTAATTTAAATTAAATTTTATTATTGTTTTTGTAAAATAATTTATTTTGAATTGAGTTTTTTTTTTCCGTTTATTTTGAATTGAGAATTTGTGTCCCTCTTGGAAGTTGAGACTGAGCTTAGGCCCCCTGGTTGAGAACCATTGATGCAAAGTAATAGTACTTGTATTATGATTTATAAAATCAGTAATTGGAAAAATGCATCTTTTTTTTTTTCCAAAAGATGTGGGAGCCCCGAGTAATTCTTGCGTAAATGATTTGCTTTGTGTAATAACCCACTGTTTTTCTTATTGCAGGTATGCATTTGGAGACAATTCTTTGTAGTTTACTGGAGAAAATTTCAGATGCCCCCCCTGGATTGGTATTTAACATAAGATTTCACCTTGTTGAACACTCATACCATGAGCAAGCTTACCCAACAATCTTGAACCTCTCCACAAGACTATTTTAGTATAATTTGTTACCTTTGTGAACTGACTATCACTATCACTTGTTGGAACATTTTTGTGCAATCAGGTCCCAAAGTGCTGATCCCTGAAAGCTGAATTCCTGGTCGTAGAGGTCCGATGCGTCACGTTTATTTGGGCCTTCTGCACCCACTGGCAGGGAAGCGCCCGATTTTTTTTCTCCCTGCCTTAAAACGACCTGTATATATTTATTCCAAGCGTGGATCTTCGGGAAAACAAGGTATCGAAAGAAAAACGCGACGCAAAGTAGGTTAAAGCCAGTGAGGTGGCTGCGGCTGCTGCCTCTTTTAACGCAATAGCTACAGTTTAGCGTGCTGGTAAACACACTTGCATGGGGCTTTGCCTATCATTTGCACGCAGTTCTGCAGACGCGTTATGCAATTTGCAGTTAATGTTTTTATTGCATGTGTGTTTTGTGAGTCATATAAAATGTAGCGATTGCAGACGGGCAGATTGATATAACGTTAGAGAAGAGCATTAGCATCGCTGGCTAGCCCTGACTGCAAGTGTGCGTCGGTCAAAAGCTAGCTGAAGTTTTCTTGCACACAAACTGTGAATAAAAAGCAATGAAACCGTTTTATGCTAGGCCTTACGCTATGGCTTTGCATATGGATTTCTAGTACACGAAGCATGGCTTATTTTCTGCAAAAGTCAAAGCCCCTCCTCCCGTTGGGCACCCCCTTCTACAAGGGGCAGAGAATGCTTTGGGCAGTGCTGCATATGGTATTGTCCTACAGGCAGACCCTGCTTTACAGCAGTCTCAGCATGGCCAACATGCACAGCAGCACCCGCTGCCAGCTCAGCAGCCTCAGCTGCAGGTGGGAAGTGAAGGTGGCCACAAATGTGGTGCGTGTGGCCATGATATTTCACACTTGGCCAATCCCCATGAGCACCAGTGCATGGTTAACCAGGACCGTTCGTTCCAGTGCACTCAGTGCATGAAGATCTTCAGCCAAGCAACGGATCTTCTAGAGCATCAGTGTGTTCAGGTTGAGCAGAAGCCGTTTGTGTGTGGTGTGTGCAAAATGGGATTCTCCCTTCTCACGTCTTTGGCACAACATCATAATGAGCACACCAATGGAAACAATCCAATGAAGTGCTCTATTTGTGAAAAAACGTACCGCCCAGACTCCTCCTCTTCTAACCCTCAGCAACCTTCTACTGCTGAGACATCCAGTGATGGGGCAGCCATGGGTTCCTCTTCCACTACAGCTTTCCAGGACTCCGACCGTCCATATAAGTGCTCGGTGTGCAATAAGGCATT